GTGAATGTTGCTCAGCAAACACAACTAAATGAAGAACTACCTGGGAACAGAGCTGCCCTTGCCCACAGAGCAGCATTCCCTGTAGCAGGAGAAGGTCAGATCCTTATGTTCTTTTGACAGCAGAAATGTGGAAGGTGTTTGCAGCAAAGTGAATTTCTTCACTTGGTCCTCACTTTGGCAGCTATTTCTGGGGTCTCCTCTTCCCGGTTCCCTTTTGCTTTTGTTGATATCTTTTTGCACTAGAGAAAACTGTGAACTTAGGGCCCAGATCAGTGATGCCCCTTCCATTTTGCAGGTTCCCAAAGAGTCTTGGATTTGCCAGTGCTGGTTTTATCACATTGTCATTGAATTCCGTAGAGACATTCCCAAATCCCTTGCAAAGTGCTACCTCTACTCTGTATTAGCAAAATCCAGTCAATCATGTAGAAATTCTTTCCAAAAGAAATTTGGAAAGGCTCCTATATTTTATATGTGCTTTGAAAATATTTCAGACAGAAGAGCTGGAAACGCTCTGGGGGCTCCTGCCAGCCCCTCCAACAAAGGCCAGCACATGGTTGTTCTTACTGCAAACTGCGGATGATTTTGTCCATTTCTAGGCAGAAGCAATGCCCTTTAGGACTGTCAGAGACTGACAGGAAACAGAACAAAAACGTTGCAAATTATAAGAAAATATCAGCTCCCCGGGCTAACTGCTATCAGTGGCAAATCAGCCCTGAAATATTTGGGTCTCTACTTCATTTGTTACTCATAATTTCCTCTTCCCTCTGCCAATTCCCATGGTGCCACTTCTCTAGAATCCCTCTCCCTTCTCTCTCTGTACAGTTTGCAAAGTGTCTCAGTTCCCACTTTATCACCAAGGACCCAACCTTCCCCTCACTCAGCCTCCAGCTCCCTAATTGTTTTTGTTGCTCTTCTTAGGACTCACACCTTTCTTCCCAGTAAGGTCTGCTAACACAGCCAAATCATGGCACTATGTCAGCTGCAGGGGGAAGAAGCATGTGGACTGCAAGAGTGTAGGCATATGCTTTATTTTTAATACCCCCATTAGCTGCAGTAAGGTTACTTACATATAACGTTAGTACATGCAGAAATGTTCACAGGACCATGTCCTCCCAGTCTCGCACTGTAGCACTCACACAGCTTTTTCTAACAACAAGGTTACATTACAAACCCACACGTTGTCGGTACTTAGTTCTGTGACCCGCTTTTTTCCCTGCTGTTCAGTGTGAGGGTTTCAGAACATTTTCCATCACACTGATAAGCCTGTGGTTTTGGCAGAGAATCTTGACATATACTTTACTGTCCAGGCTTTCATGCCTGAATTCAGCGCCCAGGTAGGTAAACTTTAGAAATGACTGCACAATGTACCTACATGCTAAGGAGCTGCCCGTGTGCAAAAGGAAACACCTTCACAAATACCGGGTCACCGCAATGAAGTGAACAAATGGCCTGTGCGTTACAAAAAGAAAATGTTTTGCAGCTGAGAAGAAGGGATAGCTTCAAAACCTGGAGAAAAAAAGTGATTCTCTGCAGTCTAGCTCTAGGGTTTGGGGGCGGGGGGAAGGTTGCGTTACTCAGCTGCATTTTGGAGGAGAGAACAGCTTCCGTAGTCTTTAGTATCAATCCAAACTATAGGCAAATCTCAGAAGCAACATGAAAATCTTACAGCTTCAGCTGTTCTTCTCCCACTTTCCTGCAGACTTTGAAATCAGGACAAACTGATATGATACTAATGGTAAGAAACATTAAAATCAAAGTTGAGTTACTGGTAAAAAATATTAAAAAGGGGAACAAATTGAGTACAAACGGTCTTTACCAACCTTGGTCTCCCAGCCTCCGAACACTGTGCTGCAAGGTACTGTTACCTGTAATACCTCCCTCAACCAGCCTCCCCCAGACAGAACTCCTCTGAATCTCCATTTCATATGGCAGATAACATTGCCAGAGTGAGTGCTCCTAAAAATGACACTCACTCTTCCCCCAAGAGTGAGTATCCTGCTTTCATTTTAGCTGAAGGGAGGGGAGAATAGGTAGACACACACATCAGGTAGTGTTTTACAAGCAGAAGAAATGAGCATCTGCAACAGAAGATGGAGGGGGGAACATAAAAACTCAGTACATGCAGTGACCTTAAAGAGGAATGGATGAGGCTTCTCTTCACGGCTCAAAATGACTGGGAACAGAGTAACACAAAGCCTTTCCCCATGGATTCTTCAGCCCATAAAGAAACAAGATATTGGCTTTAGAAACTGCTTGTGGTAGAGATGTGAAAAACTGAGTGAGCACCAAGTGCTAGATGACAAATGCAAACTCCCCTCCATCTCCCAGATGATGGTGAACAAGAGTGAACAAAGAATGAAACCAAAATGAGTGTATCCATGCAGAAGTTATGGTGGGATAGGAAACACCAGTACCAAATGTTGGCTAACAGGGGAGTTATAATAAACTGCACCAAAGTGATTGTCTTGGAACATCTAAGTCCCAGCATATAAGTAAGAATAGTATTTTTATTACAATAGCTGCACTGAGCTAGGTCTTACAAAAAAAGAGCTTCGTGGCTAAGTTATGGCAAGACACCAATAGCATAAGGCAGAAGTGTGTGGATGGTAGGAGTAAAAGATGGAGGGGGAAGACTGAGGGTGACCCATGCTACATGCAGATAGCCAAACAATAAGAAAATAACAGCAGCTTTTTAAGTTATAAACAAAGGAGAGCTTTATGTGTTCATATTAGAGCACATGCAGTAACCATCATCTTTTTTACCTCTTAGCAAATAACTTACTGAGGAAGACGACCACAGAAAGCAACAAGCAGAAGGTAGAAGAACCTGCACCACCTTAATACCCAGTTGCTCCTGCAAGTTGGCGAGTTGCACTGCCCCTCTCAGGCAGAGCTGTTTTTTGCTTTAGTAGCAACACCTGCAGGCTGGGTCCCTTAAAATCCTGCATGCTCACAGTAGGATCTA